GTGTTGTTTCGATGCGTGACGTATTACATGCACGCACAGGGATGGGGAGAAACGCTGCATATCGTGCTGACGTGTTTTCTACAGTCGTTTAAGTGTAAAGCCCCCACTGGTTAGAGCCACACGGTTAACACCTACACGCGACGACTGAGGATATTACTGGAATGAGTGCAAGGAGGCGGAGAGAGCAGCTAGGTGATTGTTAATACTTGTAGCCAGTGTTGAACAGTGTGAAAATGCCAGAGCTCTAACCTACTGTGTTTTGTGCATGCACAATGGGCACGGGCTGCGTCCTGTACCTTGGGTGTTGCAGAATGAGGCATATTGGACCGTCATTTACAGGGATTATAGGCGACTAATAGACGTAGGCCTAGAGAACTCATTAAGACCTTTGGTATCTCTTCGTGTTTATTTACCATTAATATCTGGTTTGTATGTCGAGGAACGTTCCAATGCCTTTGATCCAAGGTTCTGCTCGATTCTATAATATGTGTGAACTGTTGTCAAGCACTCCTGCCAAAGAGAATTTGATTCATTCTGATAGCTATCAAGAGCATAATACAGACTAAAAATACTATAAATCCTATATGTAGTATTAACTAGCGAGATGTATATGAGTGAGTAGCTTATGAGTATACGATTATGTATAGAGTAGCGATAGCGTATACTGACTTGTATACCAATTAGGCTGTCTAAAGCATGACTAACTGTTCTTAGATATAGAATGTATTACTTTTAGTCTATGAACTCAGTACTAAACAAGAATGTCATGCCGAAATACAATTAATTATAAATAGATCAGAAATAATTGATATGAATTAATGACGATATATAATAAATTGTGTTAAATGATTTCTGTTGAATCTTGTGATACATTAAACAAATGTTTACTTTAAAAACATGCCGAAGTGTATAATGCTGCCAATTACGACTGTAGTTCACTAACCTGCCGTATCAGGCCTCGGTCGCGCCACGCGTGTCACGTTCGCGCGTGGTATGCGGCCGAGTTAGCCAATTCCCTTTGGTTAGTATCTATTTGAGTTAGATGTTAGGGTAGGATAGGTTTCTAGTTATGTTCCAGCGCGACAATGTCTCAGATTGCGTTAGTTAGGCTCCGGGCCAAATTCTGGTTGTCTCGGACACCGACAACGCTTATTTTCGAGCACTTGCATCATACACATTAAAATATTATCTTTCTGTTAAATAATACTTTGCGTTCAAAGACTAATTTGTATTCAGTGTAATAGAATATATAATGATACGATTAAAAAACGGAATGTAATTCCATGCAGGAGGTTTCGCCCAGGATGATTTGAAACAGGGGAGAGGAGGGGGGAGGGGAGGGGGAGGAGAGGAAGGGGTGAAGGGAGGGGGAAAGGGAGGCGCGGAAAAGGGGGGGAAAGGGAGGGGAATACTAAGGGGGGTCAGGGACGTTTTTACGGTACCACTAATTAAATGCTCATAAATCGCCACCCACACCAATGAGAGCGGTATTTGGCGGTTCTGTATATATATGAAGATAGCGAGTCTGTGTACGTAGTAGCTGTCAGTAGTACTACTCTGCCTCACTTGCTGAGTTGTGAGATGACCTCCGTAAGCTGGCAAGCCGAGACTTGCTTTCATCCTTTCCCTTCCTTTCCTTCTCGCGCGCTCTCCTTACGTTCGTCAGATCGACGAAGTTAGGTGCAGGCTATGCTCACTACCCGGCACCAGTGGTTGGCCCATGACTCGATTATCTAAGCAGGAGACAAAGCTTAAAGGCTAGTGGTTGGAGGATTGGTCAATTCATATGTTTCACGAAACGACCGATGATCGATTTAATCACATCGATCATTTTAGTTGCGGTGACGACGTGGTGACGCCGCCGTCCATCGTCGACACAACCGTGTGATTTGCGAAGGAATATAGACATTATTGTATGTGGTAGCTAGTATTTAATGAAGTAAATTAAGGATACGTTAGGGTTACGGATGGGTAAGCGACTCTAAAGGGCATTGCAACATAACTGCTCATCAAATTCAATCAAACTCATATATCCATTACATAAGAGAGATGTCTCTCTATGCTATCGATAAACTTTTTTTATTACAAATTCATCTCTAATTAAGTGACAACAAAAATTGTGAATTTATACAAAAATTCTTTTTTTGTTATTTCTCAGAAACAGAGTTTGGACCTAAACTTTTAACCATAAGTTGTTCATAATATAAAATTTACACCTCACCGTGTTTACTAGTATATGTGTAAATGTATGTACTTGTGTCAAATCTGGAAATTAAAAAAGAAAAAAAAAGTTCGAGTTGTACTCGGTCGTCCGATTTTCTACTCGATTAATCAACTCAGCAGCCCAAACGAGTAATGATCGACGAACTCGATTAATCGGAACACCACTAGTAAAGGCCCCCGCACGCGGTGAGATCCGTGCTGAGCACAGAGCGTGCGTTTCGTGCTCAGCACAAATCTCACCGTGTGCGGGGTCGATTTATGTGAGCTGTCAGTCTCGCGAGGCGGCGAGGAAAATATCTGTCGTGTTTGATAATTTTGGTCTTGCGAGGCTGAATACTCTGCGTGTGCGTGGATGGGGGGTGTGAGACTCCTGCTGAGCACAAAATCAGTTGCGGCGCATTTTGATTGGTTCTCACTCAGTGGTGGCGCATTTTGATTGGTTCTGCCATTTTGATCAGTCACATGACCTACAGTGCACCCGCTGGTAAGATCCGTGCTCCGCACGAATCTCACCATGTGCGGGGGCCTTAAGCGCTACTATAACACGGCTACGATCCTTTGCAGTATTATTGATTAGCTGTCTTACCTTAATTGTTCATATAAAACAAACCGCATGTCCCTACGATGCCCCTTTGCTGAGATAATGAGCGGTGAAAATCTGGCATTTTCCCCGAAACCCGACCCGAGATCAATGTTTACTGCGTCCCTCACTCGAAGTGTTTCCAGTGTGTTGCTTCCGGTCGCCGCTGTGTAGCGCCATAGTGGCGCTGACTCACGTAATACTACCAGAGTTTACTATAAGTGTTGAACAACAGTAGAGGCCGTCCATAGGCTGCAGGCCTGAATAAGCATCGAATAACATGCGAACAGAAATTAATTAAAATCCTCACACTGTCTACTGCACTTACAAATACAGTTTATTCATGTTAAATAACTACCAGATTCATGCTCTATGCCCCCTCCGAAGCTTTTGCGCAGCTCTATGAAGCGAATTTCTCAAAGTGTCTGAACACATATCAATAGCCACAAAAACACGAACCGGTCGCGCTGTGACTACGCACACTGACGGAATGTCACGAGATACACACAAAAATAATTTTACTTCTAATACTTTCTCGACGTCAACGAGGACACCAATTGCGTGCACTAATGCTAATTATTGCAGCTCTAGTGCCGGAATTTTGGGCGAAAAAAAATACCAAAAAGGCCTTTCAGAGAGAAAATAGTACAACATTGGTGAACCAATCTGCGAACGCCTTACTGTTAATAGTATAATGCCACCGCTATACATCCCAGCGGTAAGTGGGCGTGAAGGTGCACAGGTGGGGTCCATCAGCTATGGCAATTCATAACTACGTCATTCGGACACGGCAATGGTTTCCCGAAGTTATAACCACTTGCGAGTGAGGACGCAGTAAATCACTGATCATCGAGTCGGGTTTCGTGAAAATACCGAAGATTTTACAAACCGCTCATATATCATCAGCGGTAGGGGCATCGTAGGGACATGCGGTTCTCGTTTTTATGAACAGGTAAAGACAGCTAGATCAATAGTACTGCGGATCGTCAAATAAAGACGTGGAAAAAACTTATTAATTCGACCTAATACTGCAGATGGTTTCANAGGGGGGGGGGGGTCGGTGTCGGAGGGGGAGGAAAATCTAAAAACTTTTGAATCACGGCCAATTTGTTTTATTTCTTTATACTCATAAATTACAGAAATGATGAATCGAAGATTGATTTAGTTCAAATGATGATTCATGCATCTTCATCTAAGCAGTCGAATGATTCTGATTCACGCACTCGATCATTCGACTTCGCGCATCGAGTGATGCATCGAATCATTCGATGGCGTGTAATCAAATGATTCGATGCGCAGAACGATGATTCGAATGATCATCTCGATTTCACGCATCATTATCATTCACGCACTTCCGATCGATGCATTGCGCTATCACCAGTACTGACCATATATGTCAGAAATTGATTTGTTCTCAGAAGAGTTCAGATGAAGTCACATGAATGTGATGAATTGAAAGCGACGTTTTGATTGCAATTTAAATGAACATGGTTCCTGCACTAATTATAATAGAGATACTAGGCAGAGGATTTGAGAACTTCGTCTATATATAGAGAAATTATTTAAACTAGTCAGAGGTTTATGCTTAATTAATTCTATATGGTGTATGTTCCGTAAAATCTAGTTATGTTATTGCGATTATTTGGCAAACACATTACCGATAGTCTTAGGATTCACAAATAAATTATTTATAAATGTAGCAACGGTGGCACCTGAAAAGTCCCTTGAGGCACCTGCAATCTCATACCAAGTGGCCGGCCCCGCCCCTGTGTAACTTATGGAGTAGTATGCATCGTTTCAAGTCAGAAATTCTAATATGGAGATCGATTCAGAGACATAGCTAACAAAAAATGGGTGGTTGTTCTCTTTTATAGTATAGTTAGATGTACTTATTAACTACACAAGGTGCCAGTTACTCTAGCATTCGTTAACACTGCATAATCAATATGTCAAGTCAGTACAGTACTCAGTAGTCTTTAGACAACACAGCTGACTACCGCTGCATCGTTCAATACTGATACATATTGTCCCTAGCTCAAGAACGGTATTGCTAGGGTTAGAATAGTCCTAGTCGTATTCTATTAGAATACCTATTCTATTAGAATACCTATTCTATTAGAATACCTATTCTATTAGAATACCTATTCTATTAGAATACCTATTCTATTAGAATACCTATTCTATTAGAATACCTATTCTATTATAATACCTATTCTATTAGAACTAGCAGAAAGTATACCCGTAGAACCAGCAAATGTTGTCTTTAAATATAAACTCCAGTAGATCCAGTATAAAGTTAATCGTTTTATTGTAATGAAAGAAAACCACTGCACTGGGTCACAGACACTGGCCGCTAACTGGCCACTGATACGCGTGTCATACGGATGGTACGGCAAAGCAGAGGTGAGGCAGGGGGAATCTGCAGTAGGGGGGGGCGGTATTGGAATAGATTTTTGGTGTTTGAGCCAAACCATCTCCCGAGTCCAGACGTCAAGCTGATTCTGAATATGATCTCATAAGACGCGGCCAGTAAGAGGACGTCAGAGTGTAATTCACGGTAGTGATGTGAATTGCTGTAGCCACTTGCCATCTATTGCGATAGCATTTTTTCGAATTGTTTGACTTAATACTTAGATACTAAACATTTTTAATATTTTTTTCTCAGCCAGAACCATCTCCCAGACGTGGTGATTCTGAATGGTATATCTTCGTTATTCGCATTGAGTGACAGAATGCAGTGCGAAAGCGAACACAAACAAAACAACACACACACACACACACACACACACACACACACAAGATTAGCCAATTATAGTATAGTATATTTCTATTAGTAACTATTCTATTAGAGTACCGTATTCTATTGATACCTATTCTATATGAATACCTATTCTATTAGAATATTCTATAGATACTATTCTATTAGAATACTATTATATTGAGATAACCGCTATTCTTTAGAATACCTAGTGCGTACTGTGGTATGGACTGGTTAATTTTTAGGCCGTCGCCACACCTACCAAAAATACGGTCCGATTAAAAATCTCTTCACGTTTGTTAAAATCGGGCTCATCGCGACCGCCTTGATAAACACCTCGCACACCTGAGATAAAATTGGATTCATTTTAAATCATCCTCAATTTCGCTTCGGTCCATGCTTTGTCTATGGTACGGCGGCTTTTGATGTGTCATGTGACACGGGCACGTTCAGCTATTGGCTGTTCAATTATTATACATAGATATTTTTCTGATTCAAGTGGCAACACCAAAATCTTGGTCGGGATTACACAAAATCGCCTTCAAACAATCGGTTCAAATCGAACATGTGTTTGTCTTTTGAAACGATCACCGATAAAATAATCGTAGAGTATAATCAGTCTACAATATGAACGCGCAACCTGCCGATAATCGGCTGATTTTTATCGGGCGATCTATAATCGCCGAGTTGAAAAATCGGCTGTGTGTGCGACGGCAATTAGTCACACAGCCTGGTCGGGTTAATTGTCCCCATACACATATACTGTGGCCCATATTGTCATTGTCATTGACATGTGTATACAGTATAGCCATAGGTGATATTGTCATTGCATGTCTTTGCATGCTAACTAAAAACGTACATTACCTTATTGACGAAGTTACTAAGATAAATATAATATATGCTAAATATAAGACGTCCCAACCTTCAATAACAGAGAGAATTGATGATGAAATATACTCAGACCAAGAACAGCATCGTTTGACTTTTGGCGGCATGCGTGCAGCTATGAGCGCGCATGCCACTGTTAAAGTTGACTGTATTGAGCAAGTTGAGACACTGTACTAGCTATTGCCCTGTACTTGACTCGCCGCTTAGCGTGGTAGTTTCGGCTTCGCCGTGTGATCTCAGGCGTTAGGCTGGGCGTTTCTGGATTGTCAGCCGAGTCAGTTGCTACATTTGGGGAGTGCTGGTGAGCACTGTAAACGCTACGTGCATGTATTATGTGTACGTGTTTACTGCCATAGAGTATCTATACGCAGTTGATATAATAAGTACGTGATGGAAACGCTGTGTGTCGATGTATGTGCGTTATGCTAGTAGCAATTAAAAGCAAAGACGTTTCTGTGTACACCTGCCAGGCCGTAGAGGGGTGGTTGGGGGCGGTTTAGAAGAACCCCCGAGCTCCCCCAAGCCAAAAAAATTTTTTTTGGAAAATGTTGCTGAGAATTTCACCTCAGCGTCGCCTCATTTTAGTGGTAATAATTGCAAAATTCTCCATCGGTGCGCGGAGGACTGGAACAGAGGAACACCCCTCCCACCTCCAGCGTCTCGCGTCGCTTGGTCCCTCGCCTGGTCGCTTCGCGCCCTAGCAGGGCGTGTCAGGGGGTCCAGGGAGTCCGGACCCCCTTGCTCGCGCAGAAAACGCATCTGAGGGGGATGTAGAAATTTTAAAAATTTTGCTAGACCCACGACCCCCCTTCTACGTGCTCGAACTGTTGGGTTACGAGTTTAGAACGCCCCCCTGTTAGCGAAATCCGGTTCAGGCCACCTGCGAGCAAATTGCCAACATTTAAAAACAAGCCCCGCCCCCCAAGTCTTAAAGGCTGGCTACGGGGGCCTGCTGCAATCTGTGGGTTAGTTTTCTGAACACACACAAAGGGCGCGTTTGTTTGGGAACGGAATCCGTGGATCGAGATCATTGTGATCCTGATCCTACCATGTACGTGTGGCCACAGGCATGCATAGACCAATAAATTGCTGCCTAAAATTTTTTATATTCTGGTTGTTTATTTTAGGGTTTAATTTATTTTAATTTATTATTTAATTGGTTTTTATTTTATTTGCCCTAAAATAACACCAGAATATAAAAATTTTTAGGCACAATTTATTGGTCTTAGCATGCCACAGGGACAAAACACAAGCACCAATTTCAATATGTTGGACAAACATATAAATCGAGACGAAGCAAATAACTTTCAGCAAAAACACTTTATGGACCGCAAACTGCACTTATATTGAAACAAACATGTTAATTCGCAAGTAACAAAGAACAATATGCGAAGCAAAAATACAAGATTCGAAACGGAAATTCGTTGGGAGCACTGCTACTTGTTGTTTCCTCGTCTTTATACTTCCCTCAGTCTCCGCACAACAAAACTCGCAGACTGAGGATACGAATCATTGCAACATATGATACAGCCTATTCTTTTAAAGAGGGGGAGTAGGGGAAAGTCTGTGGTGTCACACTGTCTGGTTCGTTTACAGATTTCATTGCATATCTAGGATGCCAAGAATGTCACCTCGCCCCTTTACCATGCACCTCGTACACCACCTCTTCCACCCTTGCCGATAAAAATCGTCTATGTTAGAGTAAAGTTTCAAACATGTTCCGGAACGCAGCATATCAACTGCTAATCGCCCTACAAAGCGGGTTATAGCGCCGATCTACGGTCCACAATTGTGATCATTTTGGTTTTTAAATTAATTCACCCCACTTATTATTAATGAGTAAATTCGTGACGAGTGGCAATTAAGATTAACTAATAAATATATTACTGAACTTACACTAGTTAATCATTTACTGGTAATATCATTTATTAATATGCTTTTAGATATGAGTAAATTTCGTACGAGGTGGGCCAAGATTATTTTAAACCCTTCGCGCATCATGAAATGCAAGTGATAGAACCTGTCGGTTAACGTAGTAGACACCCTGGTATTGACGACACTGCTCTAAAGGGCTCTTTTGTCATTTTTACTTGAATGAGCTTTTATACAAATCAACCACCTCCATCAAGTAAGCCATATCGGGAATGTCCCCGCACCATGTTGAGACAGATAAAGGGGTGATAAGTGCCTTTATTAACATGGGTTACGGTACGATAAGTACTTAGTTAGGTTTTTGATCGTATATTTTCTTCTACTAACCAATTTTACCTCTTTTGGCTCCCCCCAAACCAATTTTTGAAATTAGACCCCTAGAGCGTTTTTTCTGCGCTGAAGCAGGGAGGGAGAGTCGGATCCACTGGGACATTTCCCCGCCCCCTCCCTGTACACGCCCCTGCACAAACACACACACACACACACACACACACACACACACACACACACACACACACGTCACACACGCGCTCACGCACCCACGTCGCACACACGCGCACACGCGCTCACGCACACGTCACACACAGGAGCTCACGCACCCACGTCACACACACGCGCTTACACACACGTCGCACACACGCGCTCACGCGCTCACGCACACGTCACACACAGGAGCTCACGCACCCACGTCACACACACGTCGCACACACGTGCTCAAGCAACCACGTCGCGCTCACGCACACACGTCACACACACGTGCTCACGCACCCACGTCGCGCACACGCGCTCACGCACACACGATAAAAAAAATCCATGGTTGGTTGGGATTGATTGTCAGTTCAGATGCAAAATATTGAAAGCAAAAGGTTATACACCATAGATTAATTGGGTACCACGCATATATAAGATAGCCGGGGGGTCCGGAGGGTGCGGGGGGCGTTTTTTACCGTACCACTAATGAATGCGTAAGATCGCCACCACACCATAGACGGTATTTGGGGTTCTTGTATATATAAGATAGCCGAGTCTGTGTACGAGTAATGTAGTAGTACGTACTCTGCTCCCTTGCCGAGTTGTGAGACGTTGTTGACGCAGCCTTCCTTCAGGCGCGTCCTTCCTTCCTTCCTTCCAATCTCGTCATCGACGTTGTTAGAGAGAGCAATAAGTTTATGCGACTGCATCTCGATCGTAGTAGGCGATATGCAGGAGTCAGTGTGACTCCCTGAAAATTCTGCTATACTACCTACGAACTACTTCGTTCCAGAACACGGCCTCGCGTAATTGCCGTATTTTTTCAGAAAATGTCCAGACTATTTGGAAGACGTGTAACCGCATGAATCTTCAAAATAAGCACACGCGTTATTGTTAATATCTTTAGTTTTGAACTTCAGACTGTGGACTCTTGGGGGCAGGGAGTCCGTTGGACGCCCTTGTTCAAAAGTTCTACCCCTGAAGAAGTGACGAGCACGACGCAACGTAAGAGCACCCGAACTACAGTGCCACTAGAGTTAAAGTTGGTGACAAATTATATCTCTCATCATATTAAACAGATGTTATCACAGTATTAAAATCGTTAGAAGAATCCTTTGGCTTAATTATAGTAACGAAATCTCTTGTTCATTTAGGGGAACTCCTTACGACGTACATTACGCATTATATTCACCTATTGTTATATCCCTCTATTGTATTGCCCTTGGTTCAATCCGCATTGTCTATCGAGAAATGACAGAAGAGACAACATTCCATACCAGCATGATCAAGACGCTGTGCTGCCGTAAAAGGTTACCCTCATAGATGATCGAGTGCAATGGAACTACCAGCCACCAAAATCAAACCAGCAGCGGCAAGCGACCACCACTCAGTCCGGTTCATCGATCAGGGAATAATTATGTTTCAGCCGTGAGACTCGCGCACGTACCTCGGGCACAACCTCGTTGATGATCTTCTTGTAAATTCTTATGGTCTTCTCGCTCTCCTCGAGAGCCTTTTCCAAATTCGGCACGAGATAATCAGTACATTCATCTGGGTGCTGTAAAGGCATAACGCTCGTAAACGCTCGTGCCACGCCCCTGCCATGAGCGCACAGGCGCGTAGCCAGGGGGGGGGCGGTGGGGGCGGTCGCCCCCCCCCCAAAACGGCTCAAATATTGGCCCAAAATGGCTTAAATATTTCAAAATTTTGCCCCCAGACCCCCCTAGCACTGGCATGGCTACGCACGTGCCAAACGTACGGTTGTCAAATTTGCCATGTGCGTGCATGTTAGTATGCATGTATAAATGTATGTACGTGTGTGTGTGTGTGTGTGTGTGTGTGTGTGTGTGTGTTCGCTCTCTCTCGCTCTCGCACCCCCAGGACCCCACCCGTCAGTGCAAGCGCACACGGTATCAGTCTACAATTTCCAGGGGCGTGTACAGGGGGGGGGTCCGGGTCCAGGGGGTCCGGACCCCCCATGCTCGCGCAGAAAACGCATCTGAGGGGTGCTAATTTCAAAAAATGTTTGGGGGAGACCCCCACTCTTTCGCATGCTCCTAACACCCCCCTTTCAAAAATCCTGCGTACGCCACTGACTCCAGTCATATCATATATGCCTGTATATATATATCATCAATTTGCAATGAAAATTACATTATTGAAACCGATGCTCAGTTAGTTACTCAGTGTCCTCTTTGCGTGAATATTTACGCTCGTGTTCCCAGCTTAATCTTTGAATCAGTGTCTAATGTGAGTGATATCTCCTAAACTTTCATAAACATACTTTCTCTTGATGATTTCTTCATAAGAATTATTTAATATAAGAAAAAAAACGTGTTAAAAAAGAAACGTTACTAAATTTATCAAGACACATTTTTCTTAAGTTGTGCATGATCATTATCATGCTCTCAAATGCACTTGAATGAGATGAAAGCTGGCAAAAAAAGGGAAAGAAACCAATCGTTGACGCACTATCACACACAATAAAAAGGTTCTCACTTCACAAACACACATCCACACACACGCACGCACGCACGCACGCACGCACGCACGTACGCACGCACGCACGCACGTACGCACACACACACACACACACACACTTGCACACAAAATCATGGTGATCCAAAATCGTGGGGGGGGGACATTTGATATGATGTCCCCCCTCTGAAAATTCGTGGGGGGACATGTCCCCCTGTCCCCCCTGGATTTGCGCCCATGCCTGACAGTGCCACCTATATCTTCTATTTTTCCACAAGGGGCTTCCCCAAGTGTATATGTGACAGGGTCGCGTTCGTAACGAAGTGGACGACAAATTAAAAAAAAAACGTTTACGAGTTGTTTCCAAAGTAGGCTGGGCAAGTTTCGTGCCATTCATGACACTGGTGTACTGATTTGATATCAACAATGATATAATACAGTCGTCAGACAAGTATGGCAAACTATTTACAATATAAACGTTAGCTTGTTTATTCAGTCATAAACGGACACCACGTGTTACGAACACACCTACTGCATTGAACATCGATTGATTCGCTTTGAGGCACCATCCAACGTGATTTACCAATTGGATTAGGAAATAAAATCAATATTCTCCATAAAACGCCATTAGATAACCCAAGTAGAGTGTTCTATCTTTCAAAATATCAACTTGGTTTTATCCCGTTTCATGATGTCACAATACAGGCTGTCAAATCCGACCATTTACTGGAGAAAAAGGTATTTTCTTAAAAACTGTTTGAATCACGCCAATTTGTTTTATCTTCTTTTATATCTTCCATAAATTACAGAAAAAATGTATACAGCCATTAGATTGATTTAGTTCAAATGAATGATTCGATGCATCATTCGATTCACGCATCGAATGATTCGATTCACGCGCATCGAATCATTCGATTCACGCATGACGTGATGCATCGAATCATTCGATGCATGAATCAAATGATTCGATGCGCGAATCGAATGATTCGATGCATCATTCGATTCACGCATCGAATCATTCGATTCACGCATCGAATCATTCGATTCACGCATACTGACCATAATGTCAGAAATTGATTCTGATTCATCAGAAGGTTCAGATGACAGTCACACTGACATTGAATGATTGAAGGACAGTTTTGATTGACATTTTAAATGACATGAGTTCTGCTACTTAATAAAGATACTGGCAGAGGATTTGAAAGCTTCTTAATATTTGGAAACTTATTTAACTCAGTCAGGGTTTTGTCTTCTTTCGTTGGTTGTCGTAATCTAGTTATGTATTGCGATTATTTGCCAAAACACATTACCATAGTTAGAATACAAATAAATTATTTAATAAATGTAGCAACCGGGCCACCTGAAAATCCATTTGGCCACCTGCATCTCATACTCAAGTGGCCCGGCCCGCCCGCCCTGTGTAACTCTATGAGTAGTAATGCATCGTTTACAGTCAAGCAATTTCAAATCATGAGATCAGATTCAGAGAACATAGCTAACAAAAAATGGGCTGTTCTCTTTTATTATGATTACGTTAGAGTGTGTTCTTGATTAACTAACGCAAGGTGGTCCTTAAAGTGCTGTACACTCTAGCTATTCTGGCAGCTCTCGACACTTTGCAGTGAATCTAAATTAGGTAGTGTCATCCAGTACTATACTTTTGAGCAGTAGTCTTTATTGAACTGGTACAGACCGCTGGATAACTCGGCTGCACTCGTCAATATGATAATACATTATCAGTGCGCCTAGCTCAGAGATAAACTAGCAGTATCGACTAGAGTGCGGAGATAGTTCCTATCGTATTCTATTATCCTGGTATCCGTATAGTGTCGTGATTGTAGCACAGGGCGAATACCTATTTCTAATGTGAGGAGTACTATTCTATTGGAATACCTATTTTATTAGATACCTATTCTGTATCTATTACGTTGGTTAGTCTTTTATATTGACTGGACTCATTTGTCTCTACTCGTATACTCTGTTCTTAACTATGATATGAGGAAAGTTTTACCCGACTAGCAACCGCAGATATAGTTGTGTCTTGGCGTAAATATATAATAATCCTGGTCAGTAGTGACACAGAATAAAGTTAAATATTCTGTACGGAAAGAAACCACTGCACTGGGTACAACAGAAACACTGGCACAAGCTACTGGGCCAACTTGATCTCCGTGTGTCTCAGTTGACTGGGGGGGGAATACAGGGTGTTATTTTATTGGTTGCTAATTGGTGCAGAAGTTGGCTGACTTCAAAGCAGAGTGAGCAGGGGGGAATCTGGCAGTAGGGGGGGGGGTATTGAGGATAGATTTTTGTTTGAGCCAGACATCTCTCCAGCTATGTCCCAGACGTGGTGGGTAGTTTACTGGAAATACTTATGCGTGCATGTTATCTAAGATCGGACGAGTCAGTTATGCGCTGCTGAGTTTGTATCCCTAGCGTATGTGGGTGAATCTGCTGTACGCACTGCCATCTTATATGGACGATAGCATTTTTGTACTCGTACGATTTCTTGGTAATATATGGAATACGTATATATGTAATACGTGTAAGACGTGTTGATTAAATTTTTTCTCAGCCAGATACTACGTCAGACGTCGGTGATTCTGGGTGTAACTATCTTCAGTTATACTTAGTTTGTTAGAACTCTCGGAGTGTATGACTAGGAGCAGGAATCAGGGCGAAAATGCGAAGCACAAACAAACACACACACACACACACACAACACACACACTAATCACTTTCAGCAGCACATATATTAGCCCAAGATTATACTCTTTAGTATAGGAGTGTCTTTCTTAAAATTCTTGAGACGATATACGTTCACCGTTAGATTATAATTTCTATTGGTAGTAAATACTTGTGTTCTATTGAATACATTATTTCTCATATTAGGGGTTAATATAGCGTTCTCGTATATGTAGTAAGTGAGCCATTATTCTATTAGGGAATATCCTACATGATTCTGATTGAGATACGTATTTATTAATGTATAATTGCCTTATTGTCTATATTGTGTGGCAGGGCGTATACTTGGATGATACTACGGTTGATCTATTGTAGTCTAAATGTCTGAACGATTATGTGACACGCTGTGGTTCAAATTTGTAGGTGGCCGGTCTGACACATCACCCTCTGCGCTCAGTAGCAGGATCCGGTGTACTGTCAATATTGTAGGGAAATGGTATTACCAGTGGGTTTGTAAATCGGGATACGTTTGTAATCAATCGCTCGCGTAGCCGAGGGCGCTTCCGATAAGACAACTCTTGGTGCTGACACACGCTAGATTAAAATGGATTAGGGTTAATCTCCCTCATATTTCGTTCGTACATCGCTTTGTCGATGGTAGGCGCCATTTTGATGGTACGATACTTGATCAGGGTGACTCTCAATCTGACGGGACTAATTCTCTGCACCTTGTTCAGGTAATTGGCACACTTGTGTAATATTTATCAGAGATAATTTATATTCTCGGTAGGGATTCATAGTGTCGCTGCGCACCAAAAATGAGTCTGATGTATCTGGATATTAGACTAGAACGACTAATTCTCAGCGAAGATGACAATATTCAGGTCGTTTTCTCTAGTAATTAGATGCATAGCCACAGTGGGGTTATTCGTATTGTGTCACGATACGTTAGTCGTGTCCTAATGTGATACAATATATATTCTCCCTCGTTGAGATTAATAATTGCGTCTACAATGATATACCTTGTGTCGACCACTGGCGTCTGCCCATGGTCGATAGGATATTCGGCGCTGATTTTGTATATCTCGCGAGGGGTAACTTGTCCGTGATATGTCAAATCGCGTGCAACACGGGCGCATAACTTGGTTAGATACTCTCGGTGTCTAATCGTGACGATAGTTCACCGTTGATACATTGGGCTTCATACTTTGGGAATTCTCCAGTGGCGTCTGATGGTACGGATTATGTATGCGGGGGTCTATACACGGGTGGTATATTTTTTATTGGTGCAACAGGGCGTATACTTGGTGTTACGATACTTTGGGGCAGGATTTCTAAGATTTTGACAGCATATCTCTCTACCGGTTTGGATACTTGGTGAGGATTGTCTCTCTTCGATACGATATACTGTGGCCCATGTACATTATTGTCAGGTTGCTGCTATTTTAGAGCTCACATTATGTGGTGTAGGTGGGGTATATATCACAGAGTATGAGGCTCAGTAATACTTTGTGGGTGATATATTGTCATGTGGGCATGTCTTTGCTGCAGCATGGCGTTGACTAAAACGGTACATTACCTTTATTGACGAAGGTTACTAATATATTAAGTATAATAATATGTTAAATACTAAGGCGTGGCCCAACCTTCAATAACGAATAGTGAGGCAGGATTGCATGATCGTGGATAGACTCATATTACTCTCGCCTGTCAATCTAGACGTAACGACCTCACAGTCATGAATACAAGCTCATTGGTGTTTTGGCGCCGTGCTCATAACGCTCTGTGTGTGACAATGCGCATGCCGCACATGGTTAGAGAGTGACTAGATGTTGTCGAAGCTCAATGGTTAGGAAGCGGAGCTGTACTAGTCATAAGTTGCCCGTGTACTTTGACTCAGCGCGGTCTAGTTCACTGGGTTGTAATAGTTGACACGCGTTTCGCCGGGCTTCGCGTTGTCTCAGGCTTAGCTGGCGTGTCTGTGACTTGTTGTCGCTAGTCACGGGATACTCTGACGTCTGCTCAGCAGTGTTCTGAGAATTGACGAGTGATTTCACCGTTGACTTGCATTGGGTGTATACTTGGAGCACTGTAAACTACGTTGATGGGTACATGGCGTTAGACTGATGGTCTATCGTCTGTTTACTGCATAAGCTACTCTTATAGTTACAGAGTTGAGGTAGACAGTTTAGATGTAGTGTGACTGGAAACGCTTATACTTGTTGTAATTGGTGCACAGGGCCGCGTATACTTTGAGGTGTACGAGACTTGGCTGTCTAAATTCGGACCCGGCCGATCTTCGACGGTTGATTCATTGGGTGTTTCGATGTATGTGAGTTATGCTGTCGTTGCCGTTTAAAAGAAGAACGTTTCTGTGTAACCTGCCAGGCCGTAGCCAGCGGGGTGGTGTATCGGTGGGCGGTTTAGAATGACGGTACCCCCCGAGGCATCCCCCAAGCCAGAAGAAATTGTTTTGTATAAGATTTGCGAGATGAATTTCACCTCAGGGTCGCGTTCTCACTTGTATGTGTTGCTGGAATGAGTATAGCCAAACGTCTTATTTGGTGCTGCGATCACGGATACTTGGTGTCTAGAATTGGACGGAGTATTTCTACCGCTTGTGGAAATCAGTAGAACATTGCCGCGCCTGCTCATTATTAGCACGCCTCCCGTACATGCGTCCGCTGCGTCGATATCGGTGTTGCATTGGGTTGCTCCGTCGCGCTGATATCAGGTTGCCGCCTAGCAGGGGTGTACGGTGTGTATCCAGGGTGAATTGGCCAGGGTGACAGGGGCAGGTCCGGACCCCCCCCTTGCTCGTCGGAGCTCTGAGGAACGCATGCACTCGCTACTTGGATGGGGTCGTAGTAAATTTCTGTTAAACAATCGTATTTCATATATTACCCGCTTGAGATCACCCCTCTCTCCGGCCTATTCTATTTCGGTGTTACATGGGCTATGCGTTCGATGATGGTATAGTGGGGAGGCAACTATACTAGTGGGGTGGTAGTATTTTGTATGCGTTAATAGGACTCTGCCGCGCGCCCTGGTTAATAATCATAGTCTCGTTCACGCTGTACGTCACTTCGGGTGTCTAAATCTGACGGATATTTCACCGTTGATACATTGGTATACTTGGTTTCACATGGCGTATGGTCGCATGATGTGCGAGATGGTGGTATTCCAAAGCATTGTAATAATAAATATGATGAATCGCTCAACTTCGCCCCCCCAATATAAGAGCTTGCAGCGTCGGGGGCCTGCCTGCAATCTTGTAGTTACTTTTTGTTTGCTGAATGTACGAATAACTCTGCGCTGAGTCTAAATCTGACGAGTATTTCACCGTTGATACATTGGGTATACTTGGGTACATGGCGTATGGTCGTAATGTAGGGGTATTACAGGGTGGTATACTTGTATGTAATGGTGCACAGGGCCGTATAACTGGTGTACGAACTTTGGTGTCTAAATCTGACGAATTTCACCAGTTGATACAGTTGGCTACTTACTTGGGTGTACACTCGGCGCTATGGTCGATATGTAGGGGTATAACAGGTGGGGTATACTTGTTGTTATTGTACTGCACAGGGGCGGTATACTTGCCGGTGTGTCGATACTTGGTGTATCTAAACATCTGACGATATTTCACCGTTGATACAATTGGCTTACTTGGCTGTACATGGCGTATGGTCAATATGTAAGGGGATACTACAGGGTGTTATACGTTGGGTGGTAATTGATGCACAGGGCGGACCGGTATCTTGGTGTCGATTACGTGGGTGGTTAAATCTGCACGATATTTCACGCTTGACTAACATTGGCCGCCTTACTTGGGTCACCATGGCGTATGGTCGATATGTAGGGGTATACAGGTGTATACTTGTTTGTAATTGGTGCACGGGCGCTATTTACTTGCGTGTGTACGATACTTCGTGGCTAAATCTGACGATATTTCATCCGTTGATCACTGGGTCTATACCTTGGTGTACATGGGTATGGTCGTATGTAGGGGCTTACAGGGTGTATACTTGTTGTAATTGTGCCAGGGCGTTCTGGTGTACGATACTTGGTGTCTAAAATCTGACGATATTTCACCGTTGTACATTGGATATACTGATGTACATGCGTATGGTCGATATGTAGGGAGTATACAGCGGGAGTGATGATTGTCCTGTCTGAGATGTGGGTGGCGTCCAGAGGTGCGCGCTTCGGTATACTTGGTGTACGATACTT